TTTCATTTATCACGCATCTAGATTACAAATTAAATTGATTTCTCCATTTTCGAGCTAATCGATCTTATCAGTCCTTAGCAGCTGTTATCTCGCTTTGTCACCACACCTAATGTGTTCCCCTCCTGTTTTCCACATTATATCTGAAAGACAGCACCGTACTGCTGCTGAGCCGCGCGCTGTGAATTGCTTTCTTGCGCTCCTTATCACTTAGCCTATGCAGGCGGACTTAGTCGCTTTGTCCCCAAGCGAATCTGTTCACGTCCCATTCCCAATATGTATAAAAAAATCATAGTTCTATCAAAAGGTGTCTTAGAGAAGGAACGAGTCATTTTTCTAAGACACATCGCCAAGTCGATTGAAGCGGTAACATTCTCTCTAACTTTGATGACTTTTGATTTGCGTGTCTTTCTTTCTTTAACGTTTTTCTTTCTCAGATCGGTTTTTTCTACTTCGTAGCAAACATGTATGGAGAAGAAAAAGATCAGGAGTATGGTCAGAGGTTCCAAAATATCACAGATAAAAAAGTGTCCTCACATTGCTCCACTTCGCAAAACTTTTTAAGAAAAATGGCTCGTTTTTCTCTCTGATTTTTTTTTCACAAAAAGCGTATTTCTTACCTTCCAGACATGGACTGTCACTTGTAAAACACGTGAAACTGTGTCCATTGAGACACTAACTTTTGGAGAAATTTTGATTTCCGTACCCGGCTGGATAAAGTTGCATTTCTGATGATACGGCGCTTATCTGAATCAGATAGTAATCTCAAGGTTCCCGAGCATCATATCCTGTAGCACCCTTGAGAAATTTGTTCGTTATGAAGTCATCCCGACAAATTCCAGCGTGAGCTGACACTTCGAAATTCCTGCGTTTCTTTTGCTAGAATTTTCCTTTTTACGGTAGTCTGAAAGCGGTTTTATCTTTGCTATAAGCTAAGGGAACTTGAGTGGGTAATAATTTCAAAATTTGATTGGGTAAAAGCAAAATGCAGCAGAGAAACATGTGGTGGAACTATGATTTTGCGTCATAGGCAAGCGGGTATTTTCGAAAAAATGAGGATAAAAAATTGTTGCTTTCTCAAACTGGATTTCCGTGTTAATATTCAGATTCGCGTTTATATGTGTCACAATTTGTCGGTAGAGCCTTTTTCAAAAAGATCCCCAGATGCAATTTGTTGGAATTTATTTCGAATAAATTATTATATGAACCCCACCAAGGCTGTGGACGATTCAAAGATGGTGAAAGCGTGATGAGAGATACGGGACACTGAGGGATACAAGACTCATCAACGATGACAAAACAACGTTGGAGCAGTCACCGCAGTAAGCAGGTGTAGTGACTTAAAATGTTCATGGCTACAAGCCCACCATAGCATCTTTGCACGTTTCTAAAAGAGATATCCCAATGTCAGCGGCATAAGAAAGTTTTTACAGCCAAATTATCATATCACCTGATATCACGAACGTGATTGAAATAATCGAATTGTCATTGTGATTGTGCTATTGTACTAGGGTTGTAGATTAGCGGGCTATTCAGATTTGTTGTTATTGAGGAATTCATTTTTATAGGAAAATCATCAATCGATAAGTGTTAGTAACCAGAAAATCTCTTATGTTGTTAGCTTAGAAGAAATGTTGCATTCTTGATGGAAAGACTGATAAGAAGGATATAAATAGGGGGCGTGACAGGCAGAGAGGCAGTCGAGCTTGGCAGGCAAGCCAGCAAGAGGAGGTGCAACAATCGAAGGAGGTGCAAGATTACTGTAGTTGATGATTTTTGTAGAATTTCGTATTTTTGTCAGAAAAATTACTTAAAATTGTATTAAGTCGTTTAATTACCCAAGTTTGAGGTATTCGTGCGTGTGCAATAAAATTGTGATCTACCAACCGCGTGGCAGAAGTACGGTGCAAGAGTTGGTGGTAGAAGTGCAAATCAAACTGGTGCATCGGACGCTGTGATTCAACCCGTGGAAGTCCGGTGGTTCAGCGAGCAGTGAAGGAAAGAGAGAGGTCAGCACTATATCATATTGCTCAGCATGCCTAAACGCTTTGCATGCAAACGCTTCTTCTTCCATTTCTCGTTGTTTACAATAAGTCCATTTCTCGTTGTTTACAATAAGTATTCGGAAAACGTTCATTTGCCCCATTCATTCCCATCTGAATAATAATGGCAACTTCACTGAGTGCACGTAGAGGGGTAGTGACTCGACAGTGTAGTGCTCTAGCGGAACTCAAAAAGAGTTATACCAACCTTCTGCTGAAGCTACAGCTTACCGTCGGGTCTACTCCTCATTCCTACCCGGTTTGGTTATATGCTATCTGGACAGAAATATATAGGAAGCTCAACCATTTCTGAGCACGCATCTGCTTTGGTACACTCGTTCCAGATGGAGGATGAGTTGCAGCCCTGGGAGCAATACTGGGATTCCGAGTCACAAGTTCCAGCCAAAGAATTTACAGGGCCAGAAAAAGAAGAAAAGGCGAAAGTCAATAAACAGGTACTCCAGGAGTTCAATGACACCATCCAGCGAAGAAGTGATGGTTATTACGTCCGAATTCCGTTTAAAACGGATCATGCCGAATTGCCTGACAACAGAGCATTAGCTTGGAAGCGGTTGAAAAGCATCCTGCAGACGTACGCTGACCAACCATTGGTGCTGGAACAATACGATCAGGTCTTCAAGGATCAGCTCCAAAAAGGCATTCTCGAAGAAGTGCACGAAAGCAACGACTTGTTCGCGGTAAAGAAACATTACCTTTCCCATCTGCCGGTATTTACTCCACACAAAGAGACCACGAAATTCCGTGTGGTATTTGACGCTTCGGCACATTACAAAACTGCCCATCGCTCAACGATGTGACACATCAAGGGCCCACCATGCTTCCGAAGCTCTACAGTATTCTATTACGCTTTCGTGTTGGCAAATATGTCCTACTGTCGGACGTAGAGAAAGCATTTCTCCAGGTGCGCCTACAAGAGAGGGATAGAGATTATACGAGATGCCTATGGGTCAAAGACATCAACAAGCCCTGTACCGAAGAGAATTTGGCGGTGTACAGATTCACACGAGTTACCTTCGGGATCAACGCTTCTCCCTTCCTTCTCAGCGCAACGATAC